GTTTGTGGTGGTCGTGGGGGGGGGGTCCTGCTGCTGCTGCTGCTGCTGCTGCTGCTGGGGATGTAATGCGGCTGCTGATGCTGGGGCTGCTGCTGGTGTTGCTGCTGCTGCTGCTGCTCAGGCTTTGAGGGAGGTGAAGATCAGAGAGCGGCTGAGTCACCCGAATATTGTTGACTATAAACATTCTTGGCTAGAGGCAAGTTGCTGCTGCTGCTGCTGCTGCTGCTGCTGCTGCCTTTGTTGCTTTTGCTGCTCCCCCTTTTGTCTGCGTTGCTGCTGCTTTATTTGCTTCCTTTTTTGTTTGTTTTTTCTTCTTTTGTCTTTTGCTTCACTTGTCTTTTTACCCTTTATTCCTCTCTGTTGCTGCTGCTGCGCCTCTCCTCTCTGCTGCTGCTGCTGCTGCTGCTGCTGCTGCTGCTTCCACAGATGCACAGGGCCAACGACCTCAGCCCCACAGTCCCGTGGCTTTTCATCCTCATGGAGTACTGCAACGCAGGTGCTGCTGCTGCTGCTGTTGCTGCTGCTGCTGCTGCTGCCGATCGTGCTGCTGCTGCTGCTGCAGGCGATTGTGCTGCTGTTTGTGCTGCTGTTGCTGTCGTTGAGCTGCGCCTGCTGTGGACCGTGCTGCTGCTGCTCCCTTTCAGCTGCACCTGTTGCTGCTGCACTGAGATGTGCTTTCCCTGCTGCTGCTGCTGCTGCTGCTGCTGCTGCTGCTTCAGGGGACTTGGAGTCTCTGATAGACTTCATGTACAGTGGACGTGCTGCAGTTGCTGTTGCTGACGAAGTGGCTGCTGCAACAGCAGCAGCAGGCGTGTCGGCGGACACTGCAGCAGCAGCAGCAGCAGCAGCAGCGGCAGCAGCAGCAACGACGCCGTCGACTCCGTCGTACGTGGTGGCAGCAGCAGCAGCAGCAGCTTCAGCAGCAGCCGCTGCAGCAGCGCACTGCCCCTCATCGCCCCTGGCGTCCTGCTCCCCCGCGACAGCAGCAGCAGCAGCAGCAGCAGCAGCAAACTGCAGCCTCAGCAGCAGCCACGTCTGGCGGCTGCTGCTGGATATTCTCTTCGGGCTGCAGCACTTGCATCACTCTGGGATAGTTTACAGAGACATGAAGCCTGGCAACATTTTGCTGGACTGCCGCCGCGCGGGGCCTGCTGCTGCTGCTGCTGCTGCTGCTGCTGCTGCTGCTGCATCTCCTGCTGCTGCTGCTGCGGCGTCGCCCACGGGCCCCATTTCAGCGGCCCAGGCCGCGGCGGCGGGCGGCGCCGCTGCCGCCGCAGCTCCTGCAGCAGCAGCAGCAGCAGCAGCAGCAGCAGCAGCAGACAGCAGCAAAGTTGTCCTCAGGGCCCTTTTGGCAGACTTTGGAACAGCAGAACTTTCAGGAATGGTCCGAAGGGGGGGGGGCCCCGGGGGCCCCCGGGGGGCCCCCGAGGCCCCCCGGGGCTTCACTGGCACTGTAGAGTTCACTGCGCCGGAGCTGCTCGAGGCTAACGGCGTGGTGCGCCTGCTGCTGCTGCTGCTGCTGCTGCTGCTGCTGCTGCTGCTGCTGCTGCTGAGGTTGCTGATGCTGCTGCGGTTGCTGCTGCCGCACTGGCTGCACCTGCCGCAGGTTCCAGAGGGGAAGCGAAACAGCAGCTGCTGCTGTGGCTGTTAGCGTAGCTGGCGCTTCGCGCTGCTGCACGTGCTGCTGCTGCTGCTGCTGCTGCTGCTGTGCTTGCTGCTGCTGCTACCTAACCTGCTGCTGCCTAGCTGCTGCTGCTGCTGTCGCGCTGCCGCAGCTGCCGTTGCTGGCGCTTCTGACGCTGCTGCGGCTGCTGGCCGCCCTTGCCGTTGCTGCTGCTGCAGCTGCGCCGGCTGCTGCAGCTGCTGCTGCTGCTGCTGCTGCTGCTGCTGCTGCTGCAGGAAGGGGGCGCAGTGTATGACCCCAAGGGGGATATGTGGAGTTTAGGATTAATAGTGTTTTGTCTTTCTTTTGGATTTGTTCCTTATGCTGCTAAAGACCCTCAAGCAGCAAGAAGGGCCATACTGCAGCACACGAAAATCAACATGCCCGCGCACCCCAGAAGGTGAGGGTTTAGGGTTTAGGGTTTAGGGTTTAGGGTTTAGGGTTTAGGGTTTAGGGTTTGGGGGGTGGGGCTTAGGGTTTGGCCTCTGGGGCTTGGGGTGGGCGTCGCGGGCTGGGAGCTGCTTCGGGCTTAGGGTTTAGGGTTTAGGGTTTAGGGTTTAGGGTTTAGGGTCTAGGGTGTAGTGGCGCAGCCTTTTAGCGCCTTTTGCCAGACCCTAAACCCTAGCCCCAAACCCTAGGCGCAGCCTCGCAGCTCTTGCTTTTGCTGCTGCTGCTGCTACTTCTGCTGCTGCTGCTGCTGCTGCTACATCTGCTGCTGCTGCTGCTTCTGCTGCTGCTGCCTTCCCAGGCCCCCCAACTTGAAGCTGTTGATAGAGGCCCTCACCCAACGGGTAAGCTGCCACCGGCTCCTGTGTTTTGGGGTTTAGGGTTTAGGGTTTAGAGTTTGGGGTTTAGGGTTTAGGGTTTAGGGTTTAGGGTTTAGGGTTTAGGGTTTAGAGTTTAGGGTTTAGGGTTTAGGGTT